GTTGACATGGGGAAACATGACCCAAAGCAAAAGACAACATTTAGCCTTGTCCTGATGCACTGCTGAAGAGCACCAGAACTCTGGATGTGGAAAGAGGCCCCTTTCCTTTCTCAGGCAGCAACTTGGCTCCCATTTACATCTGTGATAAGTGTTGCACAGCAAAAGCAAAATCTCCCCGCTCAGATGTTTTTAAATTAGCTGTCCTAGTGAAGTTCTTCCAGGCCTACCTTATCCCAGAACTCCAAGACACCTCACTATAATCTAGAGAGGCTATAATCTAAGAGAGAGGCTGCAGATCAAACTTCCAGTGGTGCCAGCTGAAGCTCCCTGTCAGTTTTTCCCTTCCATCCCACAGCTCACAGCACTGTCATGTCTGCAGAGTGACATGAGCCTGTTCTTCACACTGACTGATTTGTCAAGCAAATGAGGCAAGAAAGGAGAAGGGAGAATGTATCCATGGAAAGGCATGAAAAATCCATTTAAACTGGTTCTTGAGCATCCTCCTTACCTTCATCACACAGTTTGCATGTCCTGCAGTGTGTTAAACCATTGGGGTGATCTGTGTAGGTCCCCTCCACACAAGGAATGCACGTTGTGCTGGAACTGGCAGTGCAGTGCTTGAAAACCCGCCATCCTAAAGACCATAAACCATCCCCAAAGAAGCAGCTCCGTTAGCAAAGCTCACGTGGCCAGGGACCAACACTGGCACCCAACCACACCTAAATACTACAGATGAACCATAAGGACCTCAGAAATATCCTAAGAGCAAGGACATAACCCAAAACAGAAACCAGGGCACAAAACGAAGGTCCTTGGGAACTGTGACTTTACCAACCACCCCAGCAGAGATTATTGATTGTTATGGCCACTCTGGAGGCTCCCAAGGGAGGGACAGGGCCCGGCACTGGGTGAGGGCTGAGTGCTGGCTGGGGTGATGCTCACAGCCATGGGCTGCCTGGCTCTTGTCAGGGCACAGCGGGCACGGCAGCAGTGGCGGGTCCCCATGGCCACTGTCCACTGAGGTGGGTCACCTCATAGCCACTGCCCGTTGAGGTGGATGCCCATGGCCACAGAGGTGGGGCAGGTCATGGCCAGTGCCCACTGATGTCGGTCACCCCATGGCTCCTGAGGCAGAGGGAGCCACCCCAAGACGAGGTGCTGAGCGGGCAGGGCAGGTAGGGCAGGCAGGGCAGGCAGTGCAGGCAGTGCAGTTAGGGCAGGCAGTGCAGGCAGGGCGGGGAGGGCAGGCAGGGCAGGCAGTGCAGGCAGTGCAGGCAGCCCGGTACATACCCGCAGCACACATGGGGCAGCACTCGGTGCCATGGGGGTACTCGCCCGGCTCACAGCCCGCGGCGTCCGAGCGCTCCAGCTGCGTGACCAGCACCACGGCGAGGACCTCGGGGCAACACAAGGATACCCCAGGTCACACTCCGAGAACCGGGGCCGCCCTCCCGGTGTGAGGCGGCTCCCTGGGATCACCCCCCCGACCCGCTGGTGTCCCCGGCCCCCCTCACCAGCCTCACGGTGCCCAGGGCGGGCTCCCGCTCCCGCAGCCGCCACCGCCGGGGCCCCGCGGCCCGCGGCCGCTGCCCCATGCGGGACGGGACCCGTCCCCGAAGGGAGCCCGGAGAACCGAAAGCGAAAGGTCGACATGAGGGAGCGGAAGAGGAGAAGCCGCCGCCCCCTCGTGCCGCCCGTGACAGTGGCATCGCTTCCCCCTCTCCATCCCCCGGGTTCCGCAGGGAGAGGGCTGGACCGAAAGTCAGTAAAATACCTCAAGTTGCGACAAAACGGACCCTCAAAACCTGGAACGGACCCCTCAAATCGTGGCAAACCAACCTCTGAAAACCTGGCACAAGAACCTCGAAACCTGGCAAACAAACCCAGCCCTCAATGCCTGGAGCAAACCCCTCAAATCCTGGCACACAAACCCCTTAAAACCTGGAGCAAACCCTTCAAATCCTGGCACACAAACCCCTTAAAACCTGGAACAAACCCCTCGAGTTGTGGTACAAACCCCTCAAATCCTGGAAAACCAACCCTTCAAATCCTGACCCACAAATACCTCAAATCCTGACCCACAGACCCCTCAAAACCTGGAGCAAACCCCTCCGGTTGTGGTGCAAACCCCTCAAATCCTGGCAAACCAACCCTTCAAACCCCAAAACAAGCCCCTCAAATCGTGGCAAACAACCCCTTTACAACCCAGTTTAGGGGGCTCATTGGTGACAGACTCGTGTGGAAGGAGGGAGGATGCAGGTTGGTGCCTGCAGACCTGCTGGGCAGGTGCAAGGCCCTCCTGCTCAGGTGAGGGGTTTGCATGGGCAGGAGGGGACCTGACCAGGGAAATGCTCAGCAGGACTCAGCTGAGGGAATCTGGGTGCCAGGAGCACTCCTTATTCCTTGGGGTGAGGGGGGACTCACGAGAATACAGAGTAGACACGAATGGGAGTTCCTTGAGCTTCACAAAAAAACACATTTCTTCAGAAGACTGACATTAACCTTTCCCAGGGGTGCGAGCAGCTGCACATCCCTCAGAGGACAGAACCACACACAAGTTGCACACAAATGCATTTTATTGCTCTCTACACACACAGAGACGCATACACAGTATGCACGTGAGCCATAGGGCAGTCCCAGCACTGGGAGAAACACCATCCACCAGGAATTCAACTACTCAATACAGATAAAAATCATTATTATAATGAAAATGCTAAAAAAGCATAGCTTACACCCAGAATGTATAACATTGACAAATCAAGCCTGTTACCTACTACCTTCTCTTTAACATAAAGCAGGAACATACTCTTTTTCTAAATTGAAAAAAGCATCAAAGAGTAGAAATATTCCACATAGTTTCCTAACTCCTTGTCATCCCTCCCACTGGATATACAGAACTATGAAAGGGCCATGGGGGAGAAATCCAAACCAAAACCAAACCCGTTTTTGATGCTGCACAGTTGATAAGCAAACAGTGGGAAATGGATTTTAACCAAGTCTGCATGGACCAAAGGGAATAAATTTCTCCTCTGAAGTGAGTGAGCCAACCCAAGTCACTCGTCAAGCCAGAGCAAAGCTGGTGGCTCTTACAGGGAATATTAGAGAAAATCTCCTACAGCAATTGCTGTCCATCACAAATGTAACATTTACAAACACCCTCCTTCATTCTGAAGACGTTGCCCCTGCCTGGGCAGCACTGCAGCAGTGCCTACACAGCTTCCACACCAAACAGAACACCACAACTTTTGCCAAAGGATCCCAAAAAAGTCAAAAGTATGGCATTCTTTCACACATAAATGAAATACAGGGGGAAATAAAATTCCCTACAGCAGAGAGGATCAGAGCTGGACTATCAGATGCAGTCAGATCCTTCCTCTGGACTGTCACAGGTCCCTGCAGTGAGGACTCCCGACTACCAGGGCCTCCAGAGAGGGCAGGTGTCCTTTGGAGACACTTGTTTCAGGGAGCCGGCGTTCCCAGGGCAGCAGGAGAGCTCTGGAGCAGCCGACTGGCTCTTCTGGAAATGGCTTAAAAGTTTGGTCTGGGTTTCAGTTCGGACTTTATGGAGAGAGAGGAAGTGGAAAGCTTCTTGCAAGCACCTGGAATAGCCCTCTCTGAAGTCAAACTGGGAGCTTTTATGGAAGGATCCTGCAGCTAGAGAAGGGAAGAAAAGAGGGAGAGGGAAGAAAGAATAGTTTAAGCAGTTGTTCATGGCTCAGGATTAATACAACTGTCATAGATTTGCAGTAAGATGGAGAATGAAACAAAATTCAATACTCACTCTTCATCTGCAGCTGGCTCTGCTGCTTCAGGTAGCTGACAGTCATCTCCAGGATGTCGGCTTTCTCCAGCTTGGAGTTGGGCTGGTGCCTCTGGAACTCCTTCTCCAGGAGCAGTTTCAGCTGCTCGATGCTGCTGTTAATCCGGTCCCGGCGCATTTTCTCCACCACCGGCTTCCTCAGCTGTAAAAAGCAAAGGAAAAGACACCCGTTATTAAAGGATCCTCTGTCTGTCACCCCTCAGGGCTGTTTGGTGCCCATCCCTGCTCCTAAGCCGTGTGGGGCAGGTTCTCAGCTGGTGTCAATGCTCCGGGAGCAGCCGAGAGCGCTGCCAGGCTGTGCCGGGACTTACTTTGTTTTTCTCCTTTGGCGTCAGCAGGTTGTCGGGCTCCAAGAAAACGGTGCTGGGAGCCATCTGTCCTGAGAAGGGAAGGGAGCTCTCGGAGTGGAATCCAGGAGAAACGTGCTGCTGGAAGCTGCCTTTGCCTGGTATTTATACTGCCCAAGCTCAGGGCGAGTCTGTGGGTCTGCGGCTCGGTGGCGTTTCCCACAGTCCGCAGCCAATCCGGGAGATGGGAAGCACAATGGGAGAAGCAGCTATTCTTGCATGCTCCAGTGGCAGTGAATAGCCTGCGGATAATGACCTTCTCCCAGATGAGCAGGTGGGGAGTGTGTGCTACGTGAAAGCCTGGGATCAGAGTTACGTGTCAGGAGCTGGGAAAGAGCTGGCCTTCAATGGGAAAGGCTGCTGACTAATGCCATGGATCAATAGCATTCCAGGGGCGGCCTGGGGTTCACAGGCAGGAGGAAGGAGGAGGAGGAGGAGGAGGAGGAGGAGGTCAGCTGCTGATGGCGGGAAGGCTGCACTGCTCCTGGGAATGCACCAAGGCACACGCTGGAGCAGGGCCATGGCACATGGAGCAGGGATATGGCACATGGAGCAGGGATATGGGACATGGAGCAGGGATATGGCACATGGAGCAGGGACAAGGCACATGGAGCAGGGATATGGCACATGGAGCAGGGATATGGCACATGGAACAGGGAGAAGGCACATGGAGCAGGGACAAGGCACATGCACACACGAGCAGCTCCCAGCATTTTGAGAGAAGGAGCAGAAATCCCTCAAATCCACTCACCTGTTTTCCTCAGTGAGCCAAAGGAATGGTTCTCCCACAGGTGACTCAGGCACCAGCTTTGCCCATGGGAAACAGAAAACAGCTTTTCCACTTTGGCTTACTGCAAATAAATACATTTAATTTTTAAGTACACACAATTACTGAAAACATTTTCTGGTTTGGTCTTTGCTCTCTTGCCCCACTACCTCATGCAGCCATTTAGAAAACTCTGAAGACATGTTACAAGCACTTTATGTTTCTGTTTCCATATACCTGCAAGATAAATACGTGTGGAGAAGGGTCTTAGGACGTTTGGGGATCAGATCAGTCTTGTGTGCTGCTTCTCACTTCCTCCCCAAAACACATTTTTCTCTAATTATTTTCACGTAGTCTATGCACTAAGGAAGATTGGCTGCAGAAGAAATTTATATCCCCACAAATTTATGAGAAATCGAATTCCTGATTCCTCATTATTCCCCACAGGGCCAGTTTCCACACAGAGGTGCTCAGGAGGTGTCTGCAGGGGGAAGAGCTGACAGTGTCACTGTTTGTGTCTGATGAACACAGGGCCGGGGATTCCTGCTGGAAAACTTGAACCAGATCTGCCAGCAATTCGTCTGCCAAGTAATGTCAGGGCTGATGTTTGGGGAGCTCTTTCTGCAGCAGTAAATGCTGCTTGTGTTGCCATTAATAGATGTGTGTTCACCTGTACATCACTACATGTGTGTGGTCACTGGTGTCTGTCGGTGTGAGCACACACACAGAGCACACCAAGGACACACTCTCTCCCTCTGCAGCTCATTCCTGCAGGCCCAGGTAAGGTTTAAAGCAGCTCCTCCAGGCTCTGCTGTTCCAGCCCCATTGTGCTGCCCTGAATGGGCTCCTTCTCTCCCTTCAGAGCAGCAGCTGTTGAGCTCCCCGGCCTTTATGTCAAGTTGTGGGAAAGCTTTTGTGACACCATTTCACATGTTCTCCTCAAAGCCTGTGGATTATCTTTGAGCCCGTGTAATGCCACCTCTGAAACCAATCCTGCTCTCTGCACGTCCCTCTTGGGGAGATTCCCTGACACAGAAACTCCGGAGCTGGAACTCACTTCTTGAGCTCGTTAATTGAGCACATGAGGAAGAAAAGTGCCAGTCCCGTGATCTGCAGGGCCACTGGCACTTTTGCTACAGACAATTGCTGTTTTCCTCTTACTTCTCCACTCAATTCCCACATAATTCCCACTACACTAACTCCATGGGAACAGTCATGCCAACCTTACCCTCCTTGCTCTTGGTAGTGGTTGTGCACTGGCACAGTCAAGGGGTCGGTGCTCAAAATTTCCTCTCCTTTCGGATCCAAACTGACCCAGAGCCTGCAACTGAGCAGGATGAATGTCAAATAATCTTCTGTGGCCTTGGGAAATTCCCTTTAACTATGGAGGCTGGAGGCCCCACATATTTACATTGCATGTGATAATAAAAATTACAATATTCAATGTATTATTGGGAGGTGAATGTAGCAAAATCTCCCTTGGATGGTAAATCCATTGAGGCTCCTACTCCCTCACTCTGTGTCAGAAACAAATTTTAAAGTATTTGAAATAAAAACCATATACTTTTTATTTTCTCTTTTGTTTCACAATCTGTGAGGGGAAAAATTAGACCGTCTTGGAAGAGCTACTCAAATTAGATGCTCAGTTACCCAGAATAGATGCTCTGCTTTGGTTGGAAATCCTAAAGAAAGTGATAACAAAGATTCCTCCCTATTATAAAGTTTGCAGAATCCATGGACTTTGCACCAAGGAGGATGAATTTGGACTT